TCTTCTGAAAATCTTGATTCGATATTAGGTTATCAAAGAGGAAATTATAGCAAAACTGGACTTGGTTACAAACCCAAAGAAAGTCTAGAACCTCATAAAACTATTATTGTGAAAGATTCAAGGAAAACAGATGTGAAACCAGTTTAAAAAACTTTAAGAAATGCATATAGACCTTTTCAAAGAAAATCAACATGTTTTTATTGTATGAAATTAGGTCATACATCAAATAGATATTACATAAAACATTTTGGCATATCTAATGGGAAATATGAATGTGTGCCTAAAGGAACAAAGCATTTATACATGTCTAGATGATAATTTGAGCATCTAATTGATTATCAGAATTAGATTTTTTTTCTTGTTGTCATAATCAATTATGTTGAAAGTTTGAATTTTGAAAGTTTGAATTTATGAAAATTTGAATTTATGAAAGTTTGAAATTTTGCAGTTTGAGATTCTTGAAATTTGAAATTTTGCAATTTGAGATTTTTGAAATTTGAAATTTTGCCGTTTGAGATTTTTTTTAAATTTTGCAATTTGAGATTCTTGAAATTTGAAATTTTGCAATTTGAAATTTTGCAGTTTGAGATTTTTTTTTAAATTTGCAGTATGAGATTTTTGAAACTTGAAATTTTGCAATTTGAGATTTTTGAAATTTGAAATTTTGTAGTTTGAGATTTTGAAATTTGAAATTTTTGGAGTTTGAGATTTTTGAAACTAAATTTGAATTGGAATTTGAAATTTGAATTTGAAATTTGGGATTAGAAATTTGAATTTGAAATTTGGAATTAGCAATTTGAATTTGAAATTGGAATTTGTTGGAATTTGAATTTGAAATTTGTTGCAATTTGAATTTGAATTTTGAAATCTGGAATATGAATGGATTTGAATTTGAAAGTTGTCTAAATAAGAAGACTCGCAATTGGGGAAACTACTGCATTTCATTCCATTATTTCTATAATCATTTTATTCCCCTATCTTTCTCTCTCTTCATTTGTCTTGGGTATCCTAGATAGATTCTCCTTAATATGATATTCTTCTCTATGACACTTTGTAATGCATTATCTTCTCTACCTTGATTTATGTACTAATATGTGCAAATTTGTTCTCAGTTTCTATTGCAATATTTTTCATAATTATCAATGAAATAGGGAGATATTTTGATGATATTAATTTGTGTGAAACAGGGGGAAATTTTTTTCTCTTATAATATTTTTCATAATTATCAATGAAACAGGGATATATTTTGATGATATTAATCTATGTGAAACAGGGAGAGATTTTTTTTCTCTTATAATATTTTTTTTATAATTATCAATGAAATAGGGAGATATTTTGATGATATTAATATGTGTGAAACATGGGAAACTTTTTTTCTTATAACATTTTTTATGATTATCAATGAAACAGGGGGAGATTTTTTGATGAATTAAAATCTGTGTAAAATTATTTCCTATCTAAATTAAACAAGGGGAATTAAGAGAAGTCTTTGCTCATATGAGTTAGGGGGAGTCTTGTTATTAATATATCCAGGGGGAGATTAAGAGACTCTGACACTTGATACAAATCTGTGCTAATCTTGAGCTGACTATATAGAGTCAAGCATTTTAATTCATTTCAGGTGTTTCCTTGGTCATCATAAAAAAGGGGGAGATTGAGAGCAATGAGGGGGAGATTGATGAAAATGTCCTTACATTCCCAAGAGATGATTTTGATGATGATTCAAGTCAACTACATTCAAGTCAACACCATTCAAGATGAATTAAGGACAAGCTGAATTTATGACGTTGGTGAAAATGTGAAACATTTCCCTACATGCCAAAGATATGATTTTGATAAAGAAAGCAAGCCCAAAATGATTCCTGAAGACTAGATAGAGTCTTAGAATATTGGATATGGAGGTACAAGTTGATGAAGTAATATTATGCATAAGCCTCCAAAGCACAAGTATGATAAAATTCATAACGTGATATTTTTCACTATCATAATCAATTATGATGCATCAGAAATGGAAAAATGATTTTTTCTGTCATAATTGATTATACTGGTAATATAATCAATTATGGCAATTCAAATTTGAAAAATATATCCGTTTTAAAGAATAATTGTTTTTGAATACATCCTGATTTTCTCTATGATATTATTAATGTTCAACGGCCATTTTTTGATGCTATTTTTCTATTTAATTAATTTTTGATGAAAAATAAAAAATTACAAAATTCGAAAATACAATTTACATTCAATCAGTTTTGAGAAAAGAATTATGAGTAAGACGATAAAGATATTTTACACATTTTGAGAAAACCCTCTTCTCTACTGCCTTCTGTGCTTTCATTGTTAATCACACTTGTTCTTGGAGATTGACATTCTACAGGCTTCTACAATTTGTTGTCTCCATTACCCAGGTGTGTCTATTCTTATTTTTATTACCTTCATCCTTTTTGTATTGGTGAAAAGGAGGTGCTTTTCATCTCTAGTGTGATTCTAGGGAGGTGTTCATCCTTAGTGGGATTCTAAGGAGGTGTTTTCATCCTTTGATTTGTTCAGAGGAGGTGTTCATCCCTAGTGGGCTTCTAGGGAGGTGTTCATCCTTAATGGGTTTCTAAGGAAGTGATTGTCTTTTTAATTAGTTTACTTTTTACTGGTTCTTCTGCTGAGTTGATTGTAATTTGTAAACTGAATTTGAAAGATAGTGAATTGGGAGTCACTCTTGTGTTAAGAGTTGACTGGGAACTGGATGTAGGGTTGGCTATACCCGAACCAGTATAAATTACTGTGTGCTCTTCTCTTTCCCTTATCTCTTTCTCTTTTCCTGATTATATTATCGTTTCTGCTTTATCTGTGTTCAAACAAATTATTGACTCACAAATAAATTTTTAATTTGACATCTATTTTAATTTGTACATTTATTCACCCCCTCTAAATGTCATTTTTCTAACAGTTTTTACTATTTTCTAATAAAAAATAAATTTCTTTTATCTAATTAATATTTTTAACTAATGAATATTAATTTTTGCATGTAAATATAATGTCTAAAATGATTTAATGATTAATTTTCCTCATTAAATAAAGATTTGTCCCCAATTAATAAGATAAGAGAATTATATGATTTTTTTAAAGTAAATTACTTAAAAAACTTTTACTTCCTTATAATTTTTAAAGTTTTTAATTATTGTTATAATATTTTTATATTAAAAAGTTTTATTCTTTTTATCTTCCACCTAATTTATTTTTCTGTTGAGTAATAATTTTTAATTTAATTGTATATAAGAAATTAAAATTTAATTAAATAATTTATTAAATTTTTCACGTAAGCTTTAAAATTTTAATAAATAACTGGGTAAATTATTTTTGCTTTATTAACTTTACACTTAATATAAAAACTATATATACAATAGTATATTTTATACAATTTTTCATTAAATATAAAAAAAATTGTATTTTATTATTATAAAATAAGATTTTATTTATTTTTAAATGAATATTTAAAAAAATTATTTTATTTTTCTATCTTTTTAATATAATTATATATAAAATAAATATATTATAAATATATTATAAATATATAATGTTTATATTAATTAATACATATTAATAATAACATTTATTTTATTTTTTTTATAAATTTATATGAATCCGTGACGGGTAATAAAACTAGTTGTGGAACAAACCCAATAATATAACTTCAAATCTAACCTACACAACATTTTTAACTAAGATATTAAATATATTTCCTATTTTTTTATGTGTTTGGTCTATGTTAACAGAATTGCAATCATGATGAGACATTGTACCACCAATAATGCACGATGCAGAGTTTTCTGAGAATTTACTTTACTTAAAAAGCACTTTATAAGATAAAAACAAGCTGAAATGCTTGGTTAAATAGACATGAGCTAAAAAGGCCTCAATAAATGCACATGGAAGAAAGACAATCCTCACATGCAAGAAACATGGTCTTTCATTGCTTTGTTTCCTCAATTCAAAGCACTCCCACTTTGGGTCCTTCTGGTGCAGCCAATCACACCCCCTTCCCTTATCCTCTGCCAAACTATTCATCCATCACTTTTGCCTCTCACACCATCTTCAAACTCTCAAACTCAAGTTAGATAACAAATAAAAATTCCAAATACTGTTGATTTGATTACACTGAAAAGTAAAGAAAAAGAAAAGTCTCATCTTTTGTAGAACCCAATTATTTAACTTGTCTGTTCTGACAAAAGCAAGAGGGGCACTTCAATTCTCTTGCAGAAAAAAAAAAGGGGCTTATTCATGAAATTAGCATTGAAGAGGAGTGACATGGTAGCTTAATATACATATTAGACTAGGCTTGTTTAGAAGAAAGTAATGACCCACTTGCCACATTCTTGTGTTTTTCCTACTCCACCAATCTTGAATGCAAAGCCATGATTGGTGTTCAGCTTAATTCCTCAGGTGCTTCTACTAATTGGTCTCTTTGTTTGCTTGTCCTCCAAGGTGGGTGCTGACAATTAATGGGTTTGGAATAAGTTTACTTCTTCAATGGAATTCAATTGCATTTAACACACAATGCATATCCAATTCATTTCCTATGATTCAAAGTGAACAAATAAGATATTTAGTAGGGTTATGACACTACATATTCTTAACAAATTAGATATGGATTCTTCAGTTATACTCAAAGTGAAGATATAAGATAGGAGATTATATATAACTCTACATATTCTTAACCAATATCTTATGTTGTCTTGTGAAAAAAAAAAGAGAGAGTAATTTGACCACATTTGTACTCTATCGAAAACGATATATAGTGCCTTAACCACCACTCTCAACAATCCAATTAATTCAAAAGGGTTACTTGTTTGTGCAATATTCTTTGCTTGATTATACAATATTGAAAAGGTCTAATAAAGAACTTGAGTAGTAGTTTGTTAATGGCGGAATTCAACCTTCTCTTGCAACCATTCCTACCAAAGAAAACGTGTCATGAAATTATTGACTCAACCACACCTTCTCCACTCTCACTGAAATGCCAATGGAAGCATAACCTGAAGAAGTCTACTAAGTTATCATCCAGTTTGAGCTTAGAAAAAGAAAGATATGCATATAATAATGATAGTTGGGTTTCTCTTATTTGTCAATTGATTGTGAAGTTTGAGGCATATTCCCAAAGTCAAGGACCACTAATAATAACTTCTTTCTTATAAGGAAAAGGAAGTTTGTTCTCCACTTGGCCTTCAATATATTCCCATAAACTATTTATTAATTTTATTGGTGATGATGGAATAACAATTAATTAATTAATTATCAAATAATGAAATTGGTAGCTACCTGTTCTTCCCTTTGGGTTAAAGAAAAATTGCATAAACTTCTATTTACAACCTTGCATTGCTAAGCCAGAATGCAGATAAAGAAAGTTGTAGAGACATCTATAAAATTGGTACACCCACTTTCACCAAAATATGACATCATTTTAGAGTTGTTAAAGCATGGTTTATAAGTAGTTAGATTACAGAAGATTACATATAACCACCAAATCATCTCATAATCAAAAACCCTAATCACTAATATAATGTCATATTCTTGATGTCAAATTCACTAGTCCAATCGTTTTAGTTAAGAAATGAATTCAGTTCTTATCTCTAATTTTGTTACCCATCTTGTCAATTCTATCATATTCATTATTTATGCTAAACTTGAATGTGTCAAAGAAGCTTCCAACAACTAAAGGTAATAAATAGGTTAATTACCAACAACAAAGATGTGATAAAATGTAAAAAAAAAAAATCAAAACTTTGATGGTAAATATGTAGAAAAATCAATCAAGTAAAAAATATATCAATTATTGATTTTAGGTAAGAGAATGGTGGTGTGATAATTGGTAATATTGGCAGAAAAGAAAATATAAACTAGAAGTATGCAATAATGGGCTTCAACCAATTATTGTGTCTTTTATGCGTACACTAAACCCAACTACACATAATAATTGAAGCTTTAAAATTTATTTTAATATATCACTCTGTGATAAAATAAATAAATAAATATTTGTAACCCTTTTATAATTCAATTGTTACTTATTAGAACGATGAACTAAGTAGATCATGCTCGTGACATGAGATTGTGCTTGATTATGCCCATTTTTCATCATTTTTTTAAGAAAAAAAAAATTAAAGTCAGAGATAATGCCTTTCTCTTTACATGTCAACTCCCATGTTTGTGTTGAATTCAAAATTCCATCACATGATGCCCCCATTTTTTTTTTTAATGTTTATGATGAAATGAAAGGGAATTAATATGATTTAATGTAAAAGAAAGTGATAAAAAAATTGTCTTTTGAGGCTACACATAACAACCTTTTGACATGTTTGATTGTGATTACGTAAAGTTTAAATTTTTTTAGTATGCATTATCATTATAAATTAATCAAAATATATTTTTTATTATTTCTGGTATTGTAAAAAAAAAAAAAAAAAAAGAACAATTTAAAAACATACGTGTATGACAGACAGGAATGACAAACTAGTTACAGTATCTTTTTTGGGTGGAGAATGTTGACCGAACAAAATCCCATGCTTCTTCTCTTTCGTTACGTCACGCGTCAAAACCTCTTGTAACATCTCGACCGTTCCATCGTGCATCATCAACGGTTCATATTATCTCACACAAAAAATCACAAAAGTTGAGTTGACACGTTTGAATCACACATTCGATTCAAATAATAATTCCATTATAAGAAATCTAACAATTATAATAAATAATTTCAAATATAAGAATAAAAAGGTGTGATTGATTACTGCATTGTAAAATTTAATGAATGATTAAAATGATTTAATTTTACGTAAAATTAAATTCAACAACCCCAACTCTTCAAACCAAAAAGGAAAAGTGTTAGTAGGACGCAGACCTACAAGACAAAGGCAGGATGACGTGGCAGAGTTTGAAGCGTGAGCTTTTTCCACGTGGCAGAGTATGAGTGTACTATGAAGAGGATCCAGCTGGCATGTGGATCCTAGGGCAGAAGAATAATAATAATAAATAAAGATGTTTTATAGAGACTGGTGCCTAACCCTAATATTCTATATTGTGCCATATATTTTTTTCTTTTCCCTTTTTCACGCTTCAAACCCTAATATACCATTCAACCTTTGTTTAACACCATGTTCACATAAAATATGTTAACTTCTTAATACTTCTTAAAAATTTCACCTTTATCCTTAAGTTTAAGAATTTCAAACTCAGTTATACTTGAAAATAAAATATGGCATTGGTTTGAATTAGATTTACCTCTTGTAGAAGATTGGATACTGAAATCTTTGGGCTGAAAAAAAAAATCGATGATGGCTAAAGTTATGGCTGAAATTAGGTGGAAAATTAAACCCTAATTTGTCCACATTTATTGATGATGGATTAGTTTAGAAAAGGAAAGGAGCTTGAGTGCATTCCATGATCTGCACAAGGATAAACACAACTATGTTATCAACAAGATTAGTTTTTAATTAAAAACGTTTTTTAAAATAAAGATGAACATTATACAAATAATTTAATTCATTCATATTTGTAGATACAGTGAAAAGTTAAATTTATAACGAATTTAGTCATTTAAAATATTAATGTATCAATATTTGTCTATATTTAATGTTTATCAGTGAGATTGTTTTCAATTTTGAATTTTTATTTTTGTTTCAAAGTTTTGACTTTGATTTTAATTCTATATTTTTAGAAAAGTATAGAAAAAAAAAATGTTAGCTTTACGTTAGAATAATTGGTTATTTAAAAAATATAGTGTAAATTTTCGTGCTTTTAAAAGTCAAGGATAAAGGTTATTGTTTAAATATAATTTTCCATCCATAAGTTCTTAGAATATAAAAAGAAAATGATAAAGAATAGTTTTTACTCTTTTTAAGTGTTTTTGAAGAGAAAAGTCAATAATAAGCTAAAAACTTAATTTTTTTTTAATTTTTGTTTCAAAATGACTAAAACGTCATTTCAAATTAAATCAATTAACAATATAAATTGATAAAAATATTAACTATGTAAAATACTTTAATCGCAAGTATTATACAATAAATTTATTGAAATCATACATAAATAATATATTTGAATAAATAATTTTTACTTTTTAGCCAACAAAATAAAAAATCTTCTTCAACACATGAGGAGCTAAAACAGAGTAACAAACAGGGAATGATGATGATGATGACATGAAAGCACACAAAAACAAAACAAAGTTTTGTCCAAACTCAAAACCGCAGCTACTTTTTGATCGACGCGTTGCCTTTGGTCATCAGACAAACTCGGTGTTCCCGCCGCCCCTTCTCTCTCTACCATATAATCCCTTCTTTCTCTCTCTAAAAAAAATTAAAATATAAAAAACCATTATCAAACAACACATTACAACGAGGCTTTATAAAACCAACCAACCAAGGAAGCATTGAATCTTGCAGAACAAAGAAAAAGAAGAAGCAAGCAATGGCAAAGTCCAAGAACAATGCCAAGAAGTTGTCCTACATTTCGGTTCCTTCTCAGATCATCAACTCCATATCATCATCTTCTCTTCAATCCTTGCTAGAATCCCCCAAGAAATGTGCAAGACAGTCCAGATTTTTCACCTTTGTCAAGTGGGGTAGGCTAAGATTGTTTCTTTTCACTCTCTCTCTCCTTGCTTTCTTTGCCATACTCAAGTTGGGGCTCAATCTGGACACCCCATTTCCGCCCTTCCCTTGCGGAACCTCGGCAGGCCTCTCAAAATCCGAGTTTGGAGTTCCAGTACAGGAAGGTGGTGTTTTGGATGGTGTTGATGACACCGTTTCAGAGCCTCTGGTTGCCAGTGTGCAGTTACATGCACAGGTTCCAAGTGGGGTGGAAAGGGGTGAGGAGGTTGAAAAGAGTGAGTTTTGGGAGCAGCCAGATGGGTTGGGGTATAAGCCTTGCTTGGGTTTCAGCAGAGAGTATAGGAGTGAGAGTGAGAGGGTGGTGAATAACAGGAGGAGGTACCTCATGGTGGTGGTTTCTGGAGGGATGAATCAGCAGAGAAATCAGATTGTTGATGCTGTTGTCATTGCTAGGATTCTTGGAGCTGCTTTGGTTGTTCCTATACTGCAAGTCAATGTCATTTGGGGAGATGAAAGGTAAAAAGAATCTATACTTACTCTTGTTTAGTTCCTTTTATGTTGGATCATTTTATCAAATAAAAAATTTGATTTAGCTGATTACAAATTAAACTGTTACATTTTTGGATTAAATAATGATCACAAAGCATAAGTTTGCTTTCAATCTAGTTTTTTTTTATACTCGTTTAATTCTTTTCTTATTGGGGGTTTGTTTCCATTCTGCAGTGAATTTGCTGATATATTTGATTTGGATCACTTCAAGAGTGATCTTGCCAATGATGTGAGGGTGGTTTCAGCTTTGCCATCAACACATCTAATGACAAGGCCAGTGGAGGGGAGCCCTCTCCCTCATGCCACTCCAAATTGGATTCGGTCACACTATCTCAGAAGAGTAAGTTTGTTTTATAGCACTAAGATTTCTATTAGAGATACAGTAAGTGTTGTAGTGTTATACAGTAAGTGCTGTTCTTGTTGAACAATAGTTTAACATGATTCTTATTGTCCTATGCAGTTCAACAGAGAAGGTGTCTTGCTTTTGCGTGGACTGGATTCGAAACTGACAAAGGATCTCTCTCCTGATCTTCAGAAGCTCCGATGCAAGGTATTGTAAAGTCTATATTCTTATGGCAAAGAGGGAAAACCAATTTGGAACTTCCTTTATACGCCTGTATGGATATAAAGCTGAAAGTTCATTTGAGAGTTTCTCTATTTTCAGTAGAAAACTTCTCAAAAGCTCTTGTAGTTTGTATCCAAGTAGAGCCTATGTGCCAATTGAGAGTGTGTTCTAAATGTTTTCACCCATCTTTCAGGTTGCTTTTCATGCATTAAGGTTTGCAAAGCCTGTTCAGGAACTTGGTGACAACATTGCAGAGAGAATGAAAAGCAAGGGACCTTACCTTGCTCTTCATCTACGGATGGAAAAGGATGTGTGGGTGAGAACTGGTTGTCTACCTGGTTTGAGTCCTGAGTATGATGAGATGATAAACAAAGAGAGGCTAAATCGACCCGAGCTCCTAACGGCGAAATCAAACATGACATACCATGAAAGGAGGCTGGCTGGCCTCTGCCCCTTGAATGCTGTGGAGGTTACCAGGTAGAATAAGCTTTCTCAATTGCTAATTTCTGTCAAAAAAAAACTTGACTAGCTGGAAAGTGCTTTTAGAAAATATCAAATAAAAGAATTTATGATTGATTTTCTTTTTTTCCCTCTTTTGTGTAATGGCTAGGTCAAATTAAGAATATCAATTAACCTATCAATGTTGGTGTCATCTATTCAAATCATTCACTTTACTTTTTCGCATGTGAAATTTATTAAAAAACCTGATAAACGTCGATTTCTCATACAGTTACAAGATTTTCTAGCATTAGATTTAGGGTGTTAAGCACTTGATACATTCATTCCATTCCTAGTAATTAACATAGCAAATATTCATACTTGATATAGGGTTTCAAGATATATTTTCCAATCATATCCCAAACATCAAGAATAAATCATTTCAAGGCACAAAAGATAAGAATAACAATATTAAAACATAGATTCATATCTCAAAATATCACCATGACACAAAAAAGTTATAAGAAAGTGCACCTAATCCTAAGAAAATGAAGTTAGCCACTCATGGTGGCCATTACAGTGCTCTAAATAAGGAAGAATTGAAGAATTTTTGAAGAACAGAGCAACAGTTGTGTTTCTTTTTCAAAAACCTAAAATTCCATCTCAAAATGCGTCTTATCTTTTTATAAGAAATATTGAGTCTGGCCTTGTATCATTCGCTCAAGCGATCCATTATTCGCTTGAGCGAAAAATAGTAACTTTCACTCAAGCGAGAGTAGATGTTGCTTGAGCGAGTGCATACCGAAAGGTTTGTCGTCTTTTCGCTCAAGCGAGAATGAAAGGTGCTTGAGCGAGTGGATTCCCGAGAGCTTTAACATAACGAGCGTAGATGGTGCTCGAACGAATTTCAGTTGAAAATCTTTTTCTTTCTTTCACTTTTTTTTCAATTATTTTTACAATTATAATCTTTGCTCTTGTATCAAGGTATTCTACCACTTTATCTTATATTGAGAGAAAAATAGATTAAAATTAATATAATTTAAGTGGTTATATAATAATTAAGAGCATAATTACATCAACTTTTACTACTTAACACTAGGTGTGTGCGAAGTATTAATGTGTTAAGCTTTTCTAATCCTCTATCCTCTTCTCATTCATAGGCTGCTTAAAGCTCTGGGAGCTCCAAAAAATGCAAGAATTTATTGGGCTGGAGGACAACCACTAGGTGGAAAAGAGGCCTTGCAACCATTAATCAACGAGTTTCCATATCTTTACAGTAAGGAAGATATTGCCTTACCTGGAGAACTAGAACCATTTGCAAATAAAGCTTCCCTAATGGCTGCCATAGATTACATAGTCTCCGAGAAGAGTGATGTTTTCATGCCATCTCATGGAGGAAATATGGGCCATGCAATTCAGGTATTATAAGACAAGCGTTGTAGGCTGTTTGCATTATATTGTAATAATGTATGTATTCTTAATCTAGAGTCTATGTGATATGTGGCAAATTCTAATTTTTGAAATTATGTCATTTCAGGGTCACCGGGCCTATGCAGGACACAAGAAATATATAACACCAAACAAAAGACAGATGCTACCCTATTTTCTGAACTCTTCCCTCCCTGAAGAAGAGTTCAACAGCATTGTCAAGGAATTGCATCAGGAGTCATTAGGTCAGCCAGAACTGAGGACTAGCAAGGCTAGAAGAGATGTCACCAAGTATCCTGTTCCTGAGTGCATGTGCAATGACAAATAACATCATTGCTCAGAAGATTACACAGCAATGGTCTTCATGGAAACCACAGTTCTTAAGCATCATCTTAAGAGGCATAACAGTTGATAATAGGCTAAATTCTTTGTAATATAGATCATTCTTTGATTCTTTATAGAGATTATATAGGATAAATTCTACTCTTTGGTTCCTCCAATTCTTTGTAGTACATATCTGTATAAATTCCCAGTTTTGGATCGAGTTATTTGCTCTATCTAGGTATTAAATAAATCGCTAATTGAGATTAAGTGATACTGATTGATTTTAAAGTTAGAATAAAAATAGATATTTTGAATTACCATATTTGAGTAGGAGAGTGACAAAAAAAGTGACAGAGATTCTGAAAGTGCAGCTGTAACCTTGTCCAATAATAATGAAGTGGCCAAAGGCTGTGATTCATCAGAACCAGCTGTCACAATTGGGACAGCGCATAGCAAATGCTTGGAAATTGGATGACATTGTCTGTATATATAAAGCAATTATTATTTTTTTTCTTTTAAATCAAATATATTTTTACATAAATTTTTATTCATTTAATTTTTCTTTCCACCCACATTTTCTTGTTAAAAATAATCTTATTTTTCATGCACCCTATTCTTTATTGGGCTGATTTCAACGTCTAATGCTGCATGTGCATGCAATCAATTGGAACTCTTTCTTTTACATTTGAGGTAATTTATTTCTAAAAATAAAAATGTTAAAATAAATAGATTTTAAATAAATTATATAAGTGATGTTTTCAAATACGACTTTATTTTTAATTTTTAAAAATAGTAAAAGTTATGTTTTGAAAATTATCCCTACAACGTATCCAAAACCTAGTTGAAGTGTATCATAACTTGTGCTCAGAGCAGAGTGAGTTGATATATTATGCTGCTGTGCTGTGCCCCAAAGTGAGGCCACACATGTTCCAATCTGATCACAACCCAGTTTTACAAAATCTTGATTCATATGTGGAGTTTAGACCTAATAGTTCTGCGATAAAATAGCTTCATTTGTAGTTCTGTGATAAGTAGTTTATCAAAATACAGGGATATAATAGCATGAAATATAATCATTTGGTGTTCATTTAGCAGTTCTATTCGGTGATTGCGTGCATGTATGATTCTCACGAGCAGAGAATCCGGATCAACTTTGTAGAATTGAATTAGGTATTTATCCATTGGTAGGGTGGTGAGCTTTATATTTCATTACTTGTTATTATTTCCCTGCCTCCCCTTGCACTCTTAGGTCTGGCGGTTCGGCATTTACTTTTACTATTTGAGTTGGTTCTGGTCTCGTTTTTCTGGTGTTTCTGAGCCTATCGGGTTTTTGTCACATACAATCGAAATCATAATTATGCTTTACACGAAAATCTATCATAGTATTTACCAAGTAACATTCTGATGATATGAACTTGAAGAGACTAATTATTATATTGAAGTAACAAGGATATTATTAAAGCAGATAATGAATAAACTACAAACTGTATGTATGTATGTAACTATGTATAACAAGCAAAAACTTCGTAAAACAAGATCACAGTAAACTATCTGTTCTAGCTGGGAGCCTCTTGAAGAAATTACTTGGTACTGAAGGCAGCTTGCTCCTAAACCTTGGATGTCTCAGAAAGTACAAACCTGTAACCAGAGCCACCACTCTGAATGGTGTTGCATAGAGAGTCACAGCAGCACAAAAGCTAAACACTACAAAGAGGCTGGTTGCTCTAGGGTCTCTCCAACTCAGTAGAGACTGAAACCGCTCCCCTTGTGTAGCTATGTCCCCAACAACTGTCTGAATCCTACCTGCCACAGTTCTAAGCCTGTCATACCTCATTCTCACAACATCTTGTGATCTAGAAGTTGGAAATGTGTCGAACTCTTCATCGAGTTCGTCCGGATGAACAGCTTCAGCCCAGGAGAGTTTAGTATCCATGTGAGGAGGGTGTCTTGGCCGGAACCTGTAGTTCCAGAGACCAATCAAGAACATGTACAGAAACACTGTTGGTAGGATCAATTCCGGGTACCATATCAGTATAAGGAAGAGAATGTGAACTAGGATTGATGTAACATGGTTCTTCCAAAGGCAAACATCACTGAACCACTTTCCCATTGTGAGCATACCCGAGAAAAGTGACATAATGCGGAAGAAGTTAGCCTTGCTTCTTCTCATGCTCCACATATGGGAATCAACATCCAACATGTACTCCACCACTTCCTTCCTCAGAGGCGGTTCGGCTCGGCCTAGCCTCGCAGCCACAATGTTCATTGCTTGGTACCTTAAGTTGTCTATTTGGTTAACTGTGAAAGGATGTATGTAATGAATCTTCGGAAGCAAAGGTTGGCCATAGATATGAACCATGTTAACTAGGGAGAGTGCTGTGAACCTCACTGATAACTGAAGCTCTCCCATCTTCTTAACTCCATGTGGGTGCAGAACAAGAAGAGGGTGAGAACTGGTGTAAATTCTATTAGCTTCAAGTGTTGATAGCCTTATTCTTACCTTTCCAATCCGAGAATCTCTGGCCACATTGCTACCAGGAGCTTTTTCTCCTCCACCTAGATGGCAGTTGTCAAAAACACCCAATGTTATCACAGTGCAAGGATCATAAACCTCCCATGTGTATTGCTCATTCCATTTAGGACTAAACGTGTCAAGCAGTGTTCTGGTTCTGACCCATTTCTGACCATACTTGGCAACACAGTATGCATCTGTGCTGCCTCTGCCATCCCTCATCTTCATAGGGAGAAGCCCTTGTGCTCCTAAGATACCTACTTCAAGTATCCCAATAGGTTGCTTCCATAGCTGTCTCGCTGTTGGTCTTTGATCACTACTGTACAATGTGGACTCATCAAGGACATGGTATCCACCTTCAAGGCATACTCTCATGTGAATCCTGCTCGAAAACTTGAGTTCATTTCTTCTATCACCTTCTAGTATTCCAAAGCCAAATTTCTCTAGATTGAACCAGCGCGAATGAACTGGCCTGTGGTCTAACCGCTTCTCAAAGAGGGACATTGGTAGGCTTATCTTCCCAAGTACCTCATCTTTTGAAGGGTGCACACGATCCTCCACAGTGATTGTCAGTTGCTCCTCAAATGGCTCACAGGCTACAAAAACCAAATCTTCATTCCAAAATGGGGTGGTTGTTCTGGTGGGGCATATCTTGGTTGTCAGCACTTGGCAGCCCACTTGAGCTTTCACAAAAACCTCCGGTAGGCGGTTTCTGTCACCCGGTATTACATCTTGCGCTTCAATGACATTCACCCTGAGATACCACAGTTTTGGTGACATGTATACCTTTGATCTGATGTTGAAAACACCCTCTCCATAGACAATGGCAGCATCAGAATGCCAAGCATCTGAGAAAGCCTCATCAGCTTGTGTTCCCATCCAAACTGCAAGCATAATGTCACCCCTCACCTTGCCTTCTTCACGCCAGTCTTCAAGCCGGTACCACTGAGGAGCTAGCGGACTATCTGGTGGAACTCTTGTTGGAACCTCATTGAGGTCAAAAACCACCCTTCCAAGATAGTCATCTCTCCCTACCATTGCTTTATCTTTCACAAAGACTTCTAAAACAGAAGACTGAATGCGGTCTTTGGAAAAAGCAAACACTTGATTCCACTCTGGGTGCAATTTCCTATCAAAGTGCTTTGTTCTTCCCTTGTAGTTCCCCAGCTTCACTTCCACATAAGGATCGCAACTTGAGGTGATGGTGCTTGGGGGGAGATCTTTCGCCTTCACAACACGAACATACAGATAATACATCTGCTCAACAAGGTCATAAGTGCTAGTGAATCGGTCGCTGCCACTCATCCACCCTCTTCTACCGTAAGCTCCACCACTAGGCCAACGTTCGCCAAGATGTGCATTGGTGTCATTGAGATTGTAGTTTTCATCATTGCTAGTAGGGACTTGGGGACTAACTTGGTGCGTGGTGAGTGGAGTATTCTGTTGTTGTCTCTCTACTAAAATTCTTGGCTGTTGTGGATTGGTTCCCATGAGGTTGTAGGCTTCATCATAGCTAGCACGGACTTGTGGATTAAAGGAGTGCATTGGTGATGGAGTACCGGGTCCTCGTGGTCGTCTCTTAATTGAAATTCTTGGCTGCTGGTTTGTGTCATTGCGATTGTAGCCTTCACCATGATTTGGTTGAACTTGTGGATCAACTGAGTGCATTGTGAAAGGAGTACCTTGTGCTTGTGGTCGCCTCTTTATTGAAATCCTAGGCTGTGGATTGGTGTCATTGTGATTATAGTTTTCATGATGACTAGATTGGACTTGAGGATCAACTGAGTGCATGGCGGATGGAGTACCTGGTGGTCTTCTCTTTACTGAAATCATCTGAGGCTGGAGAACTTGGTGCTTGTCTAGTTGTTGGGTTGTCTCTAGCACAGTTTCTCTGCTTTCTTTCTTTGGCTCCTGATCGATATCAACGCCACTAGACCGAACTTCTGCACCAGAATATACTTCTGCTTCTTCTGTAATTGATTTTGGGGTGTCAATTGCAGGAAGGTCTTCAATGGAACCAGCTTCTAATGCTGTTCTGTACGAGGGAATAGTATGAGGAAGAGGAAGGGTAGTACTCGTTGTTGATTCTGGTGCTTTGAGTGGAGTAGAAGGTGGGAGTTTTTTTTGTTCTGAAGGGAAAACAGGAGAAAGAGGTTTTGGTTTGGAATTGGACTCTGATGCAATGTATATTTTGAGGCCAATTTCACCCTTAACAGGTGAGAGAAACCATTTCTTTTCAAGTGGGAAAATCTGATACACCTCTTCACCTTCCTTGACAATGTTGGAGCAAGGAATTCTCACCCTTCCAAGGAAGTTTCTTCCTGGAGTAAGTCTCCTCTCGTTGTAGACGGATACTTCAATAGTTTGGCGATGGTAAGGTTTGGTTGCATCCAAATGGAAGACTAGTTTTTGGTTCCAGGTGGGGTTGAGGTTCTTTGGGACAGTTCTAGTTCGGCTAAGCTGGTTTTCAAAGTCTACTTCCACAAAGGCACTGGCTGATCCTTCACCATCTTTTGGCATAAGATCATGAGCATTAATAACCTCCACAACCAGTTTCATGTCCCTTTTCTTTCTAGCCTCACTGCCACAAGTAGTTGCAGCTAGGTGGCTTGCCAAAGTAACTGGAAATTCGATTCTGAACCAGAGAAGTTCTACTCGTTAAGAATGCAAAAGCCAAAAGAAAACAACATAGCTATGTTTATCTCACTTTCCTGCATGTCACAAGTTTTTCTTCACCTTTGATTAAGCAAGGAATAATTTCACGGAGAAGCTGCATGAGCTTTAGCAATCGGAAGATGGGAAAGCAGAAAAGAACGAGAAAGCTTCAGATTGATCTAACTTAAAGCCAGGATCATTCTTCTGGTCCGGAGGTTGTTGTGACTGCTACAATTTTATTATGCTAATAAAATAGGTTATATATTTTACTACTTAATTATGTTCATAAAATAGGGTCAAGTGTGTCATTGTAGTTGCTATTTGTTTGCCTTTTCTTTTTCTTTTTGTTGTATATGTAATTTTAATATAATGAGACAAAATGGAGGGTTTGTATGATTCTTAACTTACTGATAAAGCAAAAAAATGATTCTGAACTTTCTGTCTGTGAATGTGTTAGTTACTTGATGGAGGTAAATGGCCTATAGGGACGATTGCATGGTTATTATATGTGCAATTTTGAGGATAATTGCTTTCTTGTATGTGCAGCAATGTCTAAGTGAACAAAAGGAGCAGGAAAGGCATAGCTGAAGCTGGAAGAAAGCAAAGGTAGATTTGGCTATGGCATGTGTTATATCATACACCATGATACTTTTCTTGTGCTTCATTCTCCCCCTCTTTTTAAAAGATTTAGTACTAAAAAATTATAATTGTGTTTCAGGAATATTCTGATCACATTCTTAACATAATCTTTTACATTGTTTGAAATTTTCTGAAACTCTTAAAAAATTGTACCATTCATCTCTTATTTAATTTTATAGTTTTTAATAAATCTTGAAAAAGTATATTAGAAATATGTTCATGACACTTTTGATACTACGTGCATGTTCCACAAATATTTTGAAAAATATATTTTAGAATTAAGATTCCACAGAACATGTTGACTTTTTTATGCTTCAAATTCGAGGAATGATGAAATATGACCACTGCACAGTTGGAGAATGACTTAATTGCAAGGCACTGAAAACAATCATTTCATATAATATTGTTTCTATAAAGTTTAAAATTTTGAGTTTTCGTACTCAATTCATGGAAAAAATATTTTAAATTATTCCACAAATCTCATTTACAATAATAAATTTTACCATACCTTATTTTAGAATAAATTGTTCAAAAAATAGTTAAATCTAATTTCAAATTATGTATTAATTTCGAAATTCATTATGAATTTCTTATTTCTGAATCAACTTTCTCATTATTATAATGTCATAAAAAAAATAGTAAACTATTTCCATTTTGCAATAGAGAAGGTCAATAAAAAGTACCTTTTTTTTCATTTTAATATAATTTTCATCACATTTTTAATTTCATAATTGATAAATGATATTTGTAGCTATTCTTGGATGACAATGCTATTTATTCAGATTCTTAAGAGTGGTAAATTAATTAGAATCAGAATGTGTTACAGAGAGGCGTGAAATAAAAGATAAGCAAGTGTATCCGCAGCCAAACACTTGCAGGGACAGGAACGACTAGACATGATAACGGGATGGGTTCCGCTGGATTCCTTAATCGTTTCCATCATCTCAGGTTAAAATTTAAATTTTCATCCTGTCTATGTTGAGATATTAATTTTATTAATTTTATATATTTTTTATATATAAATAAATATTATAATTTTATAATTATTTAATTTATTAAAAAATATTTAATTATTTTTTATTTATACATATATAAAATATTTATAATATTATTATTATTATATTATATTCAAATATTTGATTATATATATTTAATTTATTTTATTTTTAAATTTTTATTTAAAATATGAAATATATAATTTATAAAAAATATTTAATAAAATATTTTTATTTAATTAATTAAAGTAATAAAAATTTAAATTATTACTTTTTTTAATCTTTTAAAATATAATTATTTTATTAAAATAAAATTTGATATATAACAAATAAAAATAATAAAATTAAAAAATATAATATAATAAAATTTAATAAATATAAATTATAAATAAAATAATATTAACATTTATTTATCTTGTCTCCCACACCACACCATTGGCCCATTCAAAGCCCATCTTCTGTTCATCTCCCCTCTCTTCCTGTTCCTAAACCAGAACCTTCCTAATCGAATCCCTTACTTTAGGGTTTATCCAGGGTTTAATTACTCCCCCAAATTCCCAAAACCCTTTAATCGACCTTCCAAACCTTCCTACTTTTTTCGCTCTCATTACCCAAATGGTTCGCTCCCATGGCGTCACCCTCATTAATCGCCTTGCTCGTAGATATTTCCGTGATGCCAACGACTCTGTACGCATCCTTTTGATTTTTTTTAGCTCTTTCTGTGAATTATGGTTTTTCAATTGTGCTGGAAATTTTAATTTGCAGGTTTATCAAGCAGTGTTCCCAAGGAGTTATAGGACATTGAACGCTAGGCCTTGCCATCCATCTAGAGGTATTGGTAGTTTTGCATCCGATGGTGTGTGTTAAGTTAACCCTTTTCTTTTGCTTTTAAGATCATTATATAACTGTTTGGGAAACTGAGCAAATTGTCAATTTTTGTTTTAGTTTCAAAATTTTTAATTTGGGTTATGTTATCTGGTTGTATGGTTAATTTATTTTATGTATGTGCATAATTGCTGAATGAATTGACTATTGGTCCATGTCTTGTTTTCTTGTAATGTTGGAATTAATTTAAGTGTTACATACTTTTCAATTGTTATTTATGCTCACCTGCTCCTCCTTATCCATTTGCAGTTGTAGGTGGCGTTAATTTGAAGAAATCGTTGCTATTGGGGTCGGCAAATAAATATTGGGGGGCATCTAGATTAATTCATGGCTCGGGTATATATTATAAATTCTTCATCGCGTACATGCCTTGATTTTTGCTATTCATGGAATCAGAATGAGTTTGAAGTTCCTTTACCTTTCATTCAATGCTCTCTTGATGCTGACTATACTTGTTTGTTGTCGCTTGCATGTTGATGACCTATCTGTTTTCCCCAAACTCTATTACAGCATTATTGGCAAGAGACTATTATGATATTCTTGGTGTGAGTAAGCATGCAGGTTCTGCTGAAATAAAGAAAGCTTACTATGGGGTAAGTGTTTCCTTGCCATTGTTAGTATACATACATGAGTTTAGGTGCTGAAATATGTGGGCTTTACTTATCTTACCCATTTTATGGTTAAACTTTATCAATTCACTGATGGTTTGCTCGGATGAGGAATAAAATAGATAGACAGGTAAGAAATATGATGGTAGTAATAGAAGAAAATAGATACTTATCTGACCCATTTCCTGGTTAAACAAGCTGTAAAAAGAGATGAGGAATCTTGGTGCTGGGGAGTGAAGGGGATGAAGAAGAGATTGGTGAATTTTTTTCAATGATGGGTATTAATTTGTAATATGGAAAGGTTTGAAACTCGAGGTTGAGAGAAATTTGGCTTACTTGCACAAAATATGAGTTAGAGCAGAAAAATAAGTTGTTAAGATGAATATTAGGAAACTGTTGGTCCTAATGTTAATTCTTATTGAATTTTGTACTTTGTCATGAAGTCATCAAACAGGATTAGCCGGCATACTAATAACCTTTCTAAAATGATATGTATATATACTTTTTATTCTTTATTAAGTTCTCTTCATATTCTGCAGCTTGCAAAAAAGCTCCATCCAGATACAAACAAAGATGATCCTGAGGCTGAAAAGAAGTTTCAAGAAGTTTCGATAGCATATGAAGTGAACTATTGCTGCTTTGGTTTTCATTTTCATTTGTACCTACGCAAGGATTCTATTTAAAATTTTCATATTTCAAATTATCTCACTGCTGGTTTGTCGTCTTTTTTCTTGTGTGCTAGGTTTTAAAGGATGAGGAAAGGCGACAACAGTATGATCAGGTTTAGCACTTTACCTACTACTTTTTTTGCTTTTCTGGTCACATTTTCTGTTGCACATTTTCTTCAAGTTGGGATACATTGTAAGATGAATTTACTTGAACTTTAGTGCATGACATAGTGCAATAAAAAAAATGAGGGTATAGTAAGATTTGCACAATGGAGAATTAGAAATTAGTTTAAGAATACTTATGAAGGAAAAATATGGAGGAAGGGGGTGGGTAACACGACACATTTGTATTATTTGTTGGAATATAATAAGAGTATTCTCTTATCCTTGGTATTTTTCCTCATGTACATTGATCATATTTCTTAAAGAGCATAATGTGGTCATTTGCTGAGTTAAACATTCACTCTCTAGTGTCTGTACTCACTATGGAGTGGGCTCAGAAAACTTTTCGCTTCCAATGATGTTTTTGGCTTGTTGATATTACATGCTTTATGCTCAATAGCAGCATTTCATATTTTGTGAGTTAAAATTTAGGTTGGGTTCATGTTTTAGTAAACAAATTCTTCAAGTGCATGTTTGTTGGTTAAATGAGTATTTTAAGTCTGTTGAGTGGATTTTTACTTTCTCTAAAGTCTCTTCATTATTCATTGATTCACTTTTAACATAAATATTTAGCTTGGTCATGATGCTTACGTTAGCCAACAAAGCACCGGTTTCGGAGGCGAGGGTGGCTTCAATCCGTTTGAGCAGATATTCCGTGATCATGTAAGGACTTGGTAGTTTCTTCCCTTTCTTACTTCTTTCATTGTTTGTTTCTATGCACTGTTGTTGAAAAATGGAAGTAATTACATTCATACACCATAGTAATAAGAAAATTTCATTATTATCTCACTTCAACTGTAAAATTTATTATATACTAACCATTAGTAATGGAGCTTCAATTATTAATTCAATCTCAATTGATTAATCATCCAGACAAAAATGTGTATGGTAAAATTTAGTCAAATTTTTTCATTTAATTTGGTTGCTTGGTTATGCATCATTTTCTCATTTATCGCCTGAAATCTATATTTTTCTAATTATGTAATCTTTAATTAAATATAAATGCCTATAAACTTTCCTGTGACAGCCATCCCACATTTGAAATCTAATATGCCTTTTTTCATTTCTTAATGGTGAATAGGATTTTGTCAAGAGCTTCTTCCATCAAAATATTGGTGGAGAGGATGTGAAGGTTTTTTCTTCTTCATATTTGGACACTTTTAAGTATGCTAAGGAGTTGTACGACCAAAGACGTCTAAATAATTTCTTTTTCAGACTTTTATTGAGCTATCTTTTATGGAAGCTGTACAAGGGTGCACCAAAACATTGACATTTCAAACAGATGTGCTTTGTAATGAATGTGGTATGTTCATTAACAAGCTCCAAACTGTTATCCAGTACTACAATTTATGATTTCAGTTTGATTTGTATTTTGTCAAGTCAGTGCACCTGGAAATGATGTTGTCAAGCCCAAACCTTTTCCTTAATGAACTATTATTGCAGGTGGGAGTGGTGTTCCTCCTGGTACAAGGCCTGAAACTTGTAAGCGATGTAAAGGGTCAGGAGTGGTCAGTATTGTCTTGAAAATAACTTAATCATCTTTTTATAAAGTTTAAGTTAGTTAAGTGCTGTTAAATTGATAATTTTGGGAAATGTTCAGTTATTTGTACAATCCGGCATATTCAGAATGGAGAGTACTTGTGGTAGCTGTAAGGGAACTGGAAAAATTGTATCGGTATGGTATAATAGCCCCCTCTTTTTCTTTTGTAATATTAAATCTCTTATTTCCTATTTTGCACTATGGTTCAGAAAATATGATGGATGAAGTTTCAATGGTAGTGTTATCATAACAATTATATTCTTGTTGCTTAGCAGAATTCTATGACTGGAGTTATTCCCCCCTACTAAAGTATACATTTAATGAATATTTGTTGATTAAATACAGCTAATGGCTAGAATATATTTGTAAATATGATCTTTTTGTCTTTTATTGTTTGTATCAGAATTTCTGCAAGTCTTGCAGAGGTGCAAAGGTTGTCAAAGGAACAAAGTCGGTCAAGTTGGATATTATGCCTGGTAATTGTTACTTAATTTTTTGGGATGTGTTGTTGTTACTAGATATGTAGGTCATGTGCATATGACTTCTGAAGAATTAGGGTAGCCTATTCCTCTATCTAACAACACATAATAACCATAATCATAAGAATATGCAGGAAAGAAGATACCTATGTCCGAATGAAGCTGGAAAGCCCTAAATTTTATTATGCTAAGGTTGAAAAGTTTATACTAATGTTGGCTCTTTCTCTACAAGAGCTCACAAAACAATTCATTTGATCTATCCATAAGTAAATCTCTCTAATCCAATCACTGGTAAATGGATGGATTGGATATCCAGACATGAAAAAATTGTAAATGGATGGATTGAATTTTTAATGGGTTATTTTTATTCAATTTGTTATTATCTGTTCATTTGCCATTGCCAACCCTAATCACTATCTTTGTGTGTGTGTGGGGGGGGGGGGGTATGCACATCCCTTTTTCTCTTAGGTTCAGCTGTGATAAGGTTGGCTGCTTATGTTTTTAACATTTCAGGGATAGACACCAATGAGACCATAAAAGTTTTCAGAAGTGGGGGAGCAGATCCTGATGGAGATCATCATGGCGATCTTTATGTTACTATCAAGGTTACTTCAATATCTTGGAAGTCGCTTTTTTCTTTTTTTTTTAATACTTTTAAGCTCAACTTTTTTATTTGTCCTTTTTGCAGGTTAGAGACGACCCTGTTTTTCGCAGAGAAGGATATGATATTCACGTAGATGCTGTTTTAAGTATCACTCAGGTAATGCATTTGGTAAACAAATTGATGGCAATTGTATGGGTATCATTTTTCTAGAACTAAATTGATGCCGGTCCATCTTTTGGAGAATAAATTCACATCATTTATGTTTTAGGAACCAAAACGGTAATGCACTCTAAAGATATGTGTTTGCTAAAATTATTATACTCTAGAATCACATGCAATATTCCAGAAAATGTAGTTCTAAATGCAGTTGAGATATCTATCACCAAGGTATAATATATAGTCTTTTGGCGGTAGGTGTCTATACTGATGCAAATTTCTGATTAAGAATCATGTTAGAAACTGTTGCACTATTGATGGCATGAATTTTGTTTGCCACAGCTAGGGAGAACTGGTAAATATTTATTTCAATTTTTTTGATTTAGCAGTGGTAGTGGTGGAGTAGATATGGTTGTTGATGGAAGTTTATTGTCAGTATTTTGGGTCTCCAACATCTTGTTACTAGTTTATGTTGCATTTAGTGATTTTATTGCAATTAAACTAAATACTGGAAATTTTGGGTTTCAGGCGATTTTGGGGGGAACTATTCAAGTCCCAACTCTTGCTGGAGATGTTGTACTTAAGGTTAGTATTATATTGCAATAGATAATATTTCTTATGGCACTTTTAGTAACTGGGGAAGTTTGATTCATGAGTCTTGTTTGGCAGGTTCGCCCAGGGACCCAACCTGGTCAGAAAGTGGTTTTGAAAAAGAAAGGTAAGGAATTAATACCCTTTTGGGAAATCGGAAGCTTTTGATAATTTTTTAAGACAATTTATTAATACATTTGGCATGTATGGACATATCATGCTTCATGAACTTATTGCTGCTAGTGTAAGCCATTACTTTCACCATTCTTACCTTGTTTATTCTCTTAACAGGGATCAAGACAAAAAATTCTTATACATTTGGGGATCAATATGTTCATTTTAATGTCAACATCCCCACGTGAGTGGCTCATTATATATTTTATTGTATCATTTACTATTTGTGCTGTTTGCTCCTCTTTCTACTCCATGTTTAGGTTCTTTGATGGATGCTTAGAATGTAAATGCCTATTATTTGAAATGTTATTACAGAAACCTGACGCAAAGACAACGAGAGTTGATTGAAGAGTTTGCTAAGGAAGAGCAAGAGGAACTTGATAAACGGAGAACTGCTTCAGCTTCTGGTTGAAAACATTTGTAAAATTTCCACTATTTTTTTATGGCTAAGTCAAGCTCAACTAGGTGGGAACCCACCTGCTGTGAGAAGTTTTGTAGGAGCATTAAAGATATTTTTTTAACTTAAATTTCTAGATCAGTTGCTTAAAATTAAAGATAATTATTAATATAACTATTAAATTTTAAATAATTTATATGTATGAAACTGATATTAAAATAATATTTTTGTAGGTAACCGCCATTTAAGATTTTCTTTGTCAACTTTATTTTTAATATAATGCTTTAAAGAAGCAAATGAAAGGAAGATCCAAAACCATAGTAACTAGAGTAGGTTAGTAGTGAACCCCACCAACAATTGAAATTATATTTCGTAATATTTTATGAGATATTATTGAAATTAACTCTTAAAACATACATCATTGTCATTGATATGATTACTTTAATAACCATTTATGATTAAAGAAAACTAAATAGCCTTGAAGAAAAATCTAAGTGAGAGGAGTGACTAAATGCAAACTCATTCTCGTTTTAGAACAAAATAAAGAGTAATTACAACAATTACATACATTCTTTCATGGTGTAAATTTCCTCTCAATTATTTCCAGTCTCAATGCCCTCTTTGTTAAGTGTCCATCAACTTTGTCGATAATAACGTTGTAACCACATGATTTTGTAGGACTAATCTGCAATCTAAAATAGCAAACAAGTTGTTAGTCAGACAAACAGAAGGAGCAAAGGACAGTCAAACTCTAACTTATCACGACTCAACTCCAAATCTTTTTCAGATCCATATCTATGTTTGATGATTCTCCTCAATCAACAGGAAATCTACGAAGTAACTAATCACCATCAAGCAATATATGTGCTTGCCAGCTTCATGAGAGAAGTGAATGCATCCTTTGGAAGACCAAATCCTATTGCTGCCATTTCAGTAAGCAGTTAAGGAACAAATTTGCACATTTGGATCACCACACATAAGACATTGCATGAAAAAAAAAAAAATGACCGACTTCAATTGCTGCATTCAATTTGTAACCCCATGAATCCATAGTTTCTTTCCGTTCAGGGAAACCTTCAGGTATTACCGGCTCAGCATTCGGTTCCTGTATAATTGAGAGATGAACATTAGGACTAAAGAACTACGCAGCATCCGTCTGTTATGTATAAGAAAAGAAAAGCATGAGACATGAAAATGTGTTTTGATTGTCGAGGACGAATCCTCCAAAAATAATGCCATTTGAGCTCAGGTCAGAGGGTGTCTGATTCTCTATATGCATTGCTTTCAGTTTCTCTTGCATCTCTTGGCCAAAATAGCTTCTTGGAATGTCTACTCACTCATGTGTTAACTCCAACCTGTTACCCATTTAAAGCACCATTTTATCAGGAAAGGAAGATGAAATATTCTGCTGTAAGAATCCAGCTTAAACTTAAACTCTCATCAGTATGCGTTAAATCAAAAGTTCTACAATAGTTTGCATTTCTATATCATCTACTTAAGAGCTTCTAAGTAGTATAATAGTAGAATCCTAGGCTGCATAAAAGAGACAACTCAAGTGTAAAGAAACTCAATCTATTTTTATACTAAGAAAACATTGTAGTAAAATAAGGGATATTGCAAAACTTAGAATGTTACAGAAAATTTTACTAACACGTTAACTTTACTAAGAACGTTACAGAGAATACAGTTTGGATCCAATCTATACTTATAAATAGAGACCACTTTATACTCTTCCAGATATACCTCTCTCATCTTCTCTGTTTTTTTCCTGTTCTACTATTATCCTAGGTTTATTTACTCTTTTAAGAGTTTCTCGCTAGTTTCTAAGATCCTCAGAAATTTCGAGAAGTTTCTGTTGTATCCTGGGGACTTGCGTAATATACCGCGGATAAGTCCTTGAGGACAATGTTTGTACATGCCTCAGGAATAAAGTTTATTTATGTTTCTGTCAGCTTTTACCACAATCTTAAGAACTTATGACTGACAATAAGGATATCAACAACTCTATACCCTTGGATAAAGGAAGGATGAAGGTTAATCTTATTATGTGAGAATATGCAAACTAGGAAAATTGTAAATTAACTCATGCGGTATCAAAGCCATAATTATTAGATGTATGATTTTTCTCCTACAATAGTTTTTTCCTAATTATGAATTTAAGAATTTCTCTATCAGATTAATGAACTCTAATTAATTCCCAAATTTGTTTTCCCAAAATTGAATAAAGGAATAAATCCTGATTTATGTTTTAAGCTGCAATCAATTTCAAATTGAAACCAATTTTATAGACCCTGTGTTTGAATGACCCTAAAATTCTTCTTGAAATGTGAATGGTCCCGTAATTGATTTTAATTGAAAAGGCAAAAAGGTAAATCATATATGAAATTGATTACTGCATGTTATAATTATGATGGAAGAAATGTTATCAGCATAGCTTGTCCATAGAGCACACGTGCCAAACACAGGTTCTTTTTCTGATTTATTACATCAATGGAACAGGAAAAATGAATTATGCATGAGTATTATATGTTGTGAGAGATTTGTTTTGGTAGTGAACAATTAACAATTACGTGTGCATGACTTAGATCTACCTATTATTTACGTGTAGGATATTATTTTGTCCACATAATATTTTGTACATACGTGTAGAATATTATTTTGTCCACATAATATCTTATACATACATATAAGAAAGGGTTTGAGACTGTATGAAAGCAATCGATCTAACCCCACTTTATCTTTAAGAAGAGGGAAATTATTTTGTTTGTGGAAAGTCGGGTCATCATGCATCTCAATGTAGATATAGAATAAGAAACGACAATCCTCCTAAGGCAAATTTAGCCAAAGGAGAAGATACAATTATTGCGGTCGTTCTCCAAATAAACATTGTGACAAATGTGAGCAGATGGGTAATAGACTCTGGTGCTACCAGGCACATCTGTGCAAACAGAAGTGTTTTTACCTCCTACACTAGTATGCGGATGGAGAAGAACATGTTTATCTTGGTGATTCCAGGACAACTTTTGTCTTAGGAAAAGGAAAAGTTCTTCTAAGCTCACATCTAGAAAGACTTTGGTCTTGAGTAATGTGCTACATGTATCATTAATTAGAACTAATTTAATATATGTAGCAATGCTGGGAAAAGTTGGGGTTAAAGTATCATTCGAATATGATAAGATTGTTATGAAAAAAATAAAAATAAAAAAAATAAAAAATAAAAAATGTATTTGTAGGGAAGAGATATTTTGACCAAAGTCTTTCTGTACTTAACATCTTTGAGGTTGTTAATGAATCTTGTTTTTCTGCTTATATTATTGATTCATATGATCTGTTATATTTATAGATGACTACTATAGATACACTATGCTTAATCAAATAGCTCTAGTGCACCAAATAACCTTTGAGAGAAGATATACTTAGAGTGTGTGTTTTTTAAGAAAACTGGTAAAACTCCCTATGAATTATGGAGAGGTTATGAACCTAATCTTAAATATCTAAGAGTGTGGGGTACTAGCTAAGGTAATGTTACCCAACCCTAAGAAAAAGAAAATAAGCTATAAAACTTCGGATTGTATGTTCTTAGGCTATGCAAAACATAGTGCTACCTATATGTTTCTTGTCCTCAAAAGTGATATAATTGAGCATAATACTATAGTGGAGACAAAAAACGTTGAATTCTTTTAATATATTTTTCCTCTAAAGGTTAGTGAAACACCTAAACAATCTATAGATATTAATAGTGATAAAGTATATGAGGATTTGAGAAAAAGTAGAAGACAGAGGAAGGAAACCTCTTTTGGAGATGGTTTCTACATTTAACTAGTTGAAAATGATCCAATGAGTTTTTTAGAGGCTACTAGGGCTCCTGATGCAATACATAGGAATAAGGCCATTAAGACTGAAATTGATTCAATCAAGAATTAAGAAAAATAATACTTGGACTTTTAGTAGATTTTCCTAAAGGAACAAACTTATTGATTGCAAGTGAATCTTTAAGAAAAAGTATTATCCTAATCAATTTATAGATAAATATAAGGTAAGATTAGTAGCAAAGGGTTTTACTCAAAAATCCAATATTGATTATTTTGACACCTTTGTCCCTGATACTAGGTTTTCTCCATTCGAGTTTTGTTAGCTCTAGCAGCTATCCATAAGCAGGTTGGTTATACACCAAATGAATGTTAAGACAGCCTTTTTGAATGGTGAATTAAGGGTGTGTTATTCCTGGTCAAGAGAACAAAGTGTGCAAACTTTTAACATCTTTGTATGGCTTAAAACAAACACCAAAATAGTGGCATGAAAAAATTGATAGTGTTCTATTTTGTAATGATTTTTCAACTAATGATGCTGATAAATGTGTGTACTCTAAATTTGAGAATGGTGAATGTGTCATAATATGTTTATACGTAGATGATATGTTAATATTTGGTACATGCATTGATATTGTCTGTTGTTTCTAGGATCTAAATTTGAAATGAAAGACATGGGAGAAACCAATATGATTTTGGGAGTTAAAATCATAAAAAGGGCAATAGTATTTTACTATCCCAAGAACAATACATTGGGAAACTTTTTAGGAAATTTGGGCGTTATAACAACAAACCAGTGAATACCCACTAACTCTAAGTTAAGACAAAATAGAGAAGACTCAATCTCTCAACCTCAGTATGCCCAGGTAATTCGGAGCTTCCTGTATTTAATGAGTTTTTCTAAACTTGACATTGCTTATGTAGTAGGTAGATTGCTCAATAAACTAATCAAGAACATTGGAATGCACTTGCAAAACTTATGAGATACTTAATAGGTTCAATGAATTATGCCATTGAATATAGTGGATTTTCCATTGTACTAAAAGGATACAATGATGCTAAATGGATCTCTGATTCAGATGAGACAAAATCCACTAGTGGTTATGTATTCACACTCGGGGGTGGTGCGATTACATGAAAATCAGTCAAACAAACAATTATTGTAAGATCGACAATGGAATCTAAATTTGTTGCTCTCGAAATGGC